CTATCCATTTATTTTTGAGATAAGGTCTTACTTCATGCCCAAGTCAGTCTGAACCTCACTCCTCCTTATCTGCGCTTCCCCAAATAACCAGGGTGACAGGCGTGTGTCACCACACCCTGCCTCTGCCCTTTTCCTGCAGCTGAAATCACAGGCGTGCACCACCATGCCCAGCTATATTGAACCATGAATTCCCAATCTCTGATTCAGTAGCTGGGAGTGCAGGTATGGGCCTAGCTGCTTGTTTTGTTGTTGTTGTTTTGTGTGTGTGTGTGTGTGTGTGTGTGTGTGTGTGTGTGTGTATGTGTGTGTTTAACATATGGCTCAGATTATTTCCACTGTGTGTTCTACAACTCTCTGTAGTCCTCTGACTTCTACCTTTTGGAATGTCACTCAAATCCTGGCAGGAGGAGCCCTGATAAAATCTCCAGTCAGGTGGGACTTAGAGTTCAACACAAGTGACAGCATCCTTGAGAAAAGACAGCCTGGGCCCAGAGCATAGCACGCAGTCGCCAGGAGACAGATGAAAGACTGCCTGGAAAGGGAAGGTGAATGGGTGGACAGGACTACTTTCTAGACGGCCATTGGGCTTCTTCTCAACCTCTCCAGAGACTTGCTCCTGAGACCTGCTGGTCTCCAACACGCGCCAGTCCATGAGGCAATAATGTCTGTCCCTTGATCTCTGCTTCTGGCTGAGCAGAGAACCTGGAAACATTCAGCCCTGTCCTTCAGAAGGTGGCTCTGTGGATGTGGTTCCCTTCCCAGTACAATAGCTCTAGGGACAACTGAACAAAGGCTGAGAACCACACCACACAGGGCCTTGCCTCTCCTTTCTCTGATTCCCATATAGGCACTAGATTCTTCTAAGGAATCTTTTTTAGATTCTTCTAAGGAATCTTTTTTTTTTTTTTTTTTTTTTAATCAGTCATGGGGCTGAATTCTGGGCCTGCGTGTTGTCCCTGAGCTGAAGAGGTAGCACTCTTCCACTTGAGCCACAGCACCACTTCTGGTTATCTGAGTGGTTAATTGGAGATAAGAGTCTCATGGACTTTGCTTCCCTGGCTGGTTTTGAATGGTGATCCTCAGATCTCAGCCTCCTGAGTAGCTAGGATTACAGGTGTGAGCCACCAATGCCCAGCCTAAGGAATCTTGAGTGGATGTTTAAGGCACTTGAAGAGAGCCCAGTGATTAGCTTCCTAGATGTCTGGCAGCATCCTGCTTGCCCTCCTCCTTCAACATGGCAGCCTGAACGTGTTCATCCCACTGTCCAGTTGGCATGTCTGGCCTGAGAGAAGACATGATACTGGATCAGATGAAGGAGGTGTGGCTCCAAGTACTGGAAGAAACTGATTCGAAGAAGAGTGGGAGAAGGGCCCGGAAAGAAGCCATAAAGGGCGGGGTCAGTCATGCAGGCTGGCACGACACCAGCACATGGGAATAGATCCGAATAGGGGAGCCTGAAAGAGCTGCTGACCCCATCGGGCACTGAGCCTCACCGCCCAGGGTTCCTGCCTGGCTCCTGCCGCAGCACTGGGCACAGGCCTCCAGACAGCACTGGAAGGAAGGAAACAAGGATGGGATCAGATTTGACCTTGCAAGCCTGTCTCCAAGTTCTTAGGCTGGGCGTCTCAGAAGCCCAGGTAACCACCTAGGACAAGAGGCAACGCACACGATCCTGGGACTGTAACTGAGTCCAGCTTCCACTCCGACCTGTGTGTATTCTCAGACTCCGTGTCCAGCTCTCTCTGACCTTCCCCTCTCTTTTCTGGCAGGGAGCAACGCCCTGGACCATGACACCGTCCAAACTACTATCTGCTCAGGCACAACCCGTGTGATCGAGCCTCTGCTCCTCTAGCTGTTTTCACGTGAGTGGAAGCCAAGGCTAAGTCCTCTCCCCTGTCTCCCCCCTGCCCACCTCATTAAGTGACTGGGCTCTGAGTGAGAGGAAGATAGGGAAAGGGGGAGCTTCAAGAAGTCTTGATCACAAAGGCCAGACTGTAGGGGTTCTTTAGGAACAAGTTTCTCCCCTTTAACTGCCCCCTTATCCAAGCTGCCCACTAGTGAGTCATTCTGCCTCATGTCTGCTTGGACCTGGGTGGCAACACAGGACCTTTTCTTGGGAGCATGGCGGGCAGTCCATAGGCAGTGAGAATCACAGAAACTCTCCACTCTGGCCCTACAGTCCTGGCTCAGACCAATGCAGTCTGATGACTTTAGACAAGTCACCAAATGGTCTGGCATTGCAAGAGTCTGGGAACAGATTTTCTGTTTTCTCTAGTTAGAAGCATGTAATAGGCTTCCCCCACACTGGGAGGGAGGGCAATTCACAGGGCTTCACTGCTCAGAGGTGGGGAATCACTTGGAGCCACTTTAAAGCCTGGCCACCTGAAGAGGGAAGGATGCTCTTCAGATGTAAGGAGTTATTGTCATCATTTGCACCTCATTATAAAAAGACGATGAGCTCACCTGACATCATATGGAGCCACTAACAGTGGGAATTTAAATGCTAAATTATATTAGTCCTCAGTGTGTACCTTCCTGGCTTATGATTTCAAGGCCAGACCTTAGCGTCCATGATAACTGTATCTGGTGGGATCTTCTAAATTATTGGGTGCTAACTCAAGTCTTTTTGCTCAAGGCTAGCACTTTGCCACTTTGAGCCACAGCACCACTTCTGGTTTTCTGGTGGTTAACTGGAGATAAGAGCCTCACAGACTTTCCTGCCCAGGCTGGCTTTGAACCATGATTCTCAGATCTCAGCCTCCAGTGTACCTGGCACAATCCTCCTCCTCCTCCTCCTTTATATGGTTTGTTTTTTGCTGGCAAAGCAGAGAAAGGTTTCATTTTTCTTTTTATAATTTTTATTGTTGTTATTATGAAGGTGATGTACAGAGGGGTTACAGTTACATACGTCAGGTAATAAGTACATTTCTTTTTGGACAATGTCACTCTCTCCCAGTTTTTCCCTCCCATCTCCACCCACAAGTCGTATGGTTTATTTTCAACATAGTGTTTAGTATGTTAATGTGGTTTTACGCAAGAAAGGTCAGTTTCCAAAGCAAAGCAGCTGCTAATTGGCACAGTTGGGCTTGAACTTGCACCTTCATAGCCATGGCTCTGCTAAGTGCCATGGTCGCTCATTTCTAGAGCACATCTGCTGGACAGCCTCTCTGGCATGGAAAGAAGGGAGGCCAGGCCCAGGAGACTGGGAGGAATGAGGGCACTGTCTTACATGACTTCTCCACGATCCCTTGTCTCCTAAAACAGGCTGGGAACTGTCAGTGGGCTAGGCTCGGATATTCAGTAACGTGGGTCATCTCACTGTGTCTCCCTCCTTGGTGAGCTTTTAGCAAATCAGGGAGATTGAAACGACAACATAAAAATCACATAAATCCTCCCCAGCCTCACATTCATCTTCCCTCACCAGAAACTCCCTGGAGCTCCAGGAGCATGGTCTACCATATACCTGAGCAAAGTCAAATCAAAAGTCTTTTACAGTGATGCGCAAGTGTGCAGATGGGATTAGCTGAGCATTGTTACTTGCTGCCCTCTGGTGGTCAGTTCAAGTCATTATTGCCATGAAAGCATTACAGAATGAAATGACTACCCCAATTTAGTATTATTAACTAAGTGCCTGCTGTATGCCAGACATCTTGTATAATGCTACTAGAGGACAGGGGATTGGGAAACAGTATAACAATCCCTGAATATAAAGGTTTTATGATTTAATAGAGGAATCAAGATATTCTCAGTGAAAAATTGACTTGCGTCTCACCAAGATAAGATTTGAAAAGTGAAATGTGGGAAGACAGTACAGTAGTTTCCAGAATTAAGGGATAAGATCATAGATGAAGTAGTCAAGGCCTTGAAGGATGTGCTGGATTTGCATAGATAGAGGGAGAAAATTCAGGAACTTCCCTAACTGAAAGCCCAAAAAACCTCCAAAACCCCAGTTCTTTGTCTGGCCTCCAGCTTCTCCAGCTTCATTCCTACCCCAAGCCTGTCTAAGCCTTCCAGATTCCTTACACTTCCTGCTCTCCTAACTCCCATATTCTCCCCTCCCTACCTTGTCTCCTGTGGGATTTAGCTGAGAAAGGACTCCTTCTATGGAACAGCTCCCCCTATAATGAGCTACCCCCCCCCCCAAGTCCCAAGTCCTCCAGTCTGTGCTGGAGTTGCGAGTCTTCCACCGCCTCACAGAGTATGCCAAGTGTGCTTCATCACTAAGCTATAAGACTGATGAGCTAGAAGTCCCAAGAACAGGACTGCCAGATGGGGAAGTTCACAGAGAACTATGGGAGGCGGGGAGGAAACGATAAGGGTGCAGATGCAAGGAAGTGGGGAAAGGCAATGCCTTCGAAGCAGAGTCTGAAGATTTGTGCCCAGATGGCTGTATCCCGCAGGCACTGATGGGCCCAGGGGCGTGATGGAAGATCAAACCATGGTAGGAACAAAGGTGCCCAGAGACAAAGCCAGAGAGGATAGTTGAGGAAGCCATTGTACTAGCAGGCTTGAGATGCAAGGTCTTAACTAACATAGTGAACAGATGCCATAAGTCTGGTACCCAGACCAGTCAGTACCAGCAAGGCTGCCCCGCACCTGTGAATTAAGAAGAGTGTCACTGGACAGTTGAATCCTCCAGGAGCACCATGGCAGGTAGGTGGTGTCTTGGGATGAGGAGCAAGGTGCCTCTTCCTCCGGGTGAAGGCACAAGGTGCAGAGCTGAGGCTCAGCCTGCATTTGCCCTTTGAGGAACAAACATCCTACAAAGCCCTTCAGAGCAGCCCTGGTGGAACTACACAGATAGAGCGCTGAGAGGACCCCTGAGCTCCATTTCAACAGCTTTAGCCTGTTTATATTGAGGTAACAATGGGAAGCGGGACATTTGGGTGAGAAGTAGAGAGGAGAGTAGGGTGGAGATTAGAGAATACAGCATCCTTGGGGGCTTTCCATCCAGCCACACTGTTCTCTCAATACCCTTGTTCTTTTTGTTGTCTTGCAGGTCACCATTCCCTTTACTGAACGTAAGTGATCACTGTCATTCATTCATTCTACCCTCCAGATGTCAAGGCCCACTGCCTTGGTCCCTGGTCCCATCAGCCTGGAAGGCTGGGAAATCCCTGCCCACTGACCTGCCTGAGACCTAAGTAGCCTTGTACCTACTGCTTGTCTCTGTCCTATTTATTTGGTTCCCTAGGCCAGGATCAATCTCCCCAGACTGGCCATAGCCATCTATGAGCCAGAATACTGCTACCCATTCTCCCTGGACTCACCTCATCTTTGCTTTCCACAGTGGTTTGGGGAAGAGGAGAGATATACCCAAAAGGAGTGTGGGTTTGAGTTTGGGGCCCTCCCCTCCCCTGCCAACACACTTGGGTTTGTGCTCAGGACAGCAGTTTGTGCTCCGGGTAGCAGTAATGGACAGCCTGGCCCCAGCCAAGTTCATCACAGCTTCAGTTCCTCACATGTCGAGATAATTTGTAGCTATCCCCAAAATGTGATGGTGAGGATGCACGAGAGCACTCAGGGAGTGCATAGCACGGTGCCTCCCATAGACAAAGCCCTCAGTCCATGGCACTAATTGATCTAGTGTGCACTGTGTCGAGGAGCCCTAGAAGAGGAGATCAAGAAGGATGCAAAAAGGACTGGGAACATACTCACTTTAAAATGCTCAAATAGCAATCACAAGGCTTCGAAAAGAAAAGAGAAAGAGGGGGAGGAGTAGAGGACTGAAAGGAAAGACAGAAAGAACCTTTGATGCTGGACAGAGACAGGGAAGAGAATTGGCACTCTGCCCCCTCTCCCCCAACAAAGTAGTCCTAAGCCTCCTGCCTTGACTTAGAGTTCCTGGTTTCAGGTACCTGAGACCTGGCTTAGGTCCTGAGCAGATGCTCAGTGTTCAGTCAGTCCTTAGGGGCTAGGACCCTCCCAGCTACTGCTACTGTCAGGGCACCCTGCCACCAGCTACGCAGAAGGTATCCTGCCATGACTGCTCACTAGGCACCCATCTTGCAGAGTTTGATGGGGCGTCGGGCGGATGACAGCGGGAACGGTTGTGATCACCGGCGGAATCCTGGCTACTGTGATCCTCCTCTGTATCATCGCGGTCCTGTGCTACTGCAGGCTCCAGGTCAGCCCCTGGGGCCTGGGGCCAGAGGCCACTTGGCCACCAGCAAACCACTTCTGTATAGCAGAGAGCGGGACGGAAACCAGAGTTCCACTCAGGCCTCAGCCCAAGGTCATGGAAGAGGGGCGGGGTGAATCAAGGGCTGGGAGTTGGGGTGGTCAGAAGGGAGCTGTGCATCTCTTCTCACACCCTGGTCCCTTTGGGGACACCCAGAGAGTATGTTCACCCTCACAGGACAGGTGGCAAGACCAAGATTTAGGGGTACTTTGACAGCTGCTGCTAACAGCCCCAGTACCATGCTCAGCAGGCTGTGTATCTCCCCCACCCCAACTTCCCACTCCTCTCAACCAGACTGAGAAAGAAACGGGAGGTATGAGGTATTGACCTAGCAAAGCTTGAACCACATACTGTGGGATGTGGTGTTCAGTTTTAACTCCGGCACCAACAAAGTGTTGCATGGGAACCTGTGCACACTCAAAAGTACACTAAAAAAATTTTTTTTTAGGGGCTGGGAAGATGGCTCAGTGGTAGAATGCTTGCCTCGCGTGCATGAGGCCCTGAGTTCCATTCCTCAGCACCACATAAACAGAAAAAGCTGTGACTCAAGTGGTAGCCTTGAGCTGAACTGCTGAAGGACAGCACCCAGGCCCATAGGTCAAGCCCCATGACCGACAAAAAGAATAATTAAATGTAATCATTCTAAAAACATATTTAGCCAAGCATCGGTGGCTTGCGCCTGTACTCCTAGCTACTGAGGAGGCTGAGATCTGAGGATCACAGTTCAAAGCCAGCCCAGGCAGAAAAGTCCGTGAGACTCTTTTCTCCAATTAACCACTAGAAAATTGGAAGTGGTGCTGTGGCTCAAGTGGTAGAGCACTTGCCTTGAGCTGAAGAGCGCAGGGATAGCACCCAAGCTATCGACATAAATAAATAAATAAATAAATAAATGACAACATATTTAGGTCCTGAATCTTCTTGAAGGTTCAAAGAGCATGGTTCTACAAAATACTAGCGTTTGTAATACAGGAATCTGCGTATTTATGGATGTTCTTTACCTTTGAAAACTTTTTCTTTTTTTTTTTTTTTTTTGCCTGTTGTGGGGCCTGAACTCTGGGCCTGGGCGCTGTCCCTCAGCTCTTCAGCTCAAGGCTAGCACTCTACCACTTGAGCCACAGCGCCACTTGTGGCTTTTTCTGCATATGTGGTGCTGAGGAATCGAACCCAGGGCCTCATGCATGCAAGGCAAGCGCTCTACCACTGAACCACCTTCCCAGCCCTTGAAAACTTTTTCTATATGTAAAATTTCCATTTTAAAATTCCTACCTGATTAATATAAAAATCAGAAATGAAATTCTGTTTCTCTTGTAGAAAAAAAAAAGTGCTCTAAAGCAGGCTCCTAGCTAGTCAAGATGCTGAAATTTGCTGGATGCCAGTGGCTCACATCTGTAATCTGAGCTACTCAGGAGGCTGAGAACTGAGGATCACAGTTCAAAGCCAACCCCCGCAGAAAAGTCCCTGTGAGACTCTTACCTCCAATTAACCACTCAAAAGCTGGGAGTGGCGCTGCAGCTCACAACCTACAAAAAAAAAAAAAAAAGCTGAAATCTGAAAATCACAATTCAAAGACAGCCTAAGCAGAGAAATCCTCAAACTCTTATGTCCAATTAACCAGCAAAAAGCTAGAAATGGTGGTGTGGCCAAGTGGTAGAGCACTGGCCAAAGTCCTGAGTTCCAGGGTCAGTACCTGCATACACACACACACACACAGAGTGCATTGGGGCTGGGAGCAGGGAAGCACAGATAACCAACTATTCAGCCATCCCTCTGTCTTCCCCCTAGTATTACTGCTGCAGGAAGAGCACCGTGGAGGATGCAGATGAGGACGAGGAGGAGGAGCACGACTTTCCCACCCGTCCCAGAGTGTCTACCTGCAATGCCTGCAGCTCCCAAGCCCTGGACGGCAGATGCAGCCTGGCACCTCTCACTATTGAGCCCTGCAGCCAGCCATGTGGGGCGGCAGCCAGCCACTGCACCACTTGCTCCCCATACCACTCCCCCTTTTACATACGGACGGCTGACATGGTGCCCAATGGGGGTGGAAGTGAGAGGCTCTCCTTTGCTCCCACCTACTACAAAGAGGGGGGACCCCCCTCTCTCAAATTGGCAGCACCCCAGAGTTACCCGGTGACCTGGCCAGGCTCTGGGCGTGAGGCCTTCACCAATCCAAGGGCTATTAGTACAGATGTGTAACCCCCTCCCCCAACCTGCACACACACCATCGCTGCCGCCCTGGCAGGAACGCTGGACAGCAGATGGCTCTCCAATGGCTCCTCAAAGACCATCTCAGTTTCTCTGGCTTTTCTCGATCCATAGCAGAGGGTTCACCTGGATTCAAGTTACTGAGGAGAACCAAGGCGTGGCCTGGCTCCTACCCCGAGGCTCAGCCGTGGGGCCTGATAGATTGAGTCCTCAGCTTTGCCAGTTTCTGTAGGGACTTCCTGCCCCAGGGTCACCACAACCGTTTAAGGGACCCCGAACCCCTGGCTTTGCTAGGCTGTGCAAAGGAACACAAAGGAAAGCTAAGAGAAAGTTCTGTAGGCTTCCAGCGTCCTTGGGAGGTGAAGTTGTACCTGTTAGAAAGGGAGATGAAGGTCAAGGAGAGAAGTGAGGACTGGACATCACAGTTTGAGAGGACAGGGAAGTTATGGTAAAGGGACTTTCTCAGGACTTGCTTGCTAAAACTCATCAAGAACCAATTTAAGTCTAGACGTTGGCTATCATAGACAGTATGGTCACTGTAGCTGCTCCAAAGAGATACTGATTACTGAACACGGCCCCACAGTATCTTCCCCTTCCTCCAGTACCGTATGAGTGGGCACAGAGGTATTTATGGTGACTGCACCAAGAAGCCACTGTATAACCTGGTCTCCTCCACAATCATTTCACTGCCTCAGGAACCAGACGCCCCCTGCTGGAGAAGCATTCCCTGTCTTTTGTTGTCAGAATTCTAGTAACTTGCCTTGAGCCTGGTCCTCTTTGCGGAGCAAGCAGTACATGTGGATGCAGTCCTAGGAGGATGCACACACACACACACACACACACACACACACACCACTACCAGCAGCCATGAGAGCTTTGCTACCATTAGAAGTTGCAGGGTGGAAGGGATATCAACTAAATAGAAACAAATGACCCTTAAGGAGGCAAGAAAGAAAAGACGATTGAAGTGGCCAATACCACTGGTACAGGACAAGCCTGGAGTCCCCAGGGGGTTATGCTGCCCACCTGCATATAATCCTTTAGAGGTCAGGTGCTCTACTTCAACATCCACTTGTCCCATCACTGAGCAGATTTTCTTTATCCCACTAGGAGCAACAGCTCTGACTCCTGAGCATTAGAGGGCTCCACAGGATCGGATATGTCTTAAGAACTGGATTCCATGCTTGTGCCCTCCCTTGGCCCTTCGGCTCCCAGTCTCATTGCAATGGGGCATTTATGACCATCTCATTCCAGCCCCATGTCCAAGGCTCACTTCCGGCTCAGAACCCAACTGTGGCCTTATGCTTGCGCTCTCTCTCTCTCTCTCTCTCTCTCTCTCTCTCTCTCTCCTCTCCCTCTCTTGCAAGTATGCCTGATTGAATGCTGCAAAGGTTAGGCAGAGGCAAGACTGGCTTTTCCCTGACATCTTGGTTTTTGCATTGGACACAGGGCAGGGTGCAATTTCCAGTGTGGGGAGGGAAGGGGAATCGTTGCTTCTTGTATCACCCGGCCCCAGGACCTTGTATCTTAATTTGGATTTAGCACACACTGGGTTGAAAACCAGAAGTCAGTGTCTAGCCATATTTTGCTTACTGTTAATATATAGAAAGGACCAACCACTTAGCTTCTTGGAGACTCCATTTTCTCCAGGGAAACAAGACAGATTCTAAGGGCTCTCTAGTGCGCCATGAAACTAAGGACTTCCTCAAACCTCTGCTGTCCTGGCTGTGCTCCCTGCCCCTCCCCCCTCCCCCTCCCCCCTCCCCCTCCCCCTCCCCCTCCCCCCCCCCACCCCCCCCCCCCCCCCCCCCGCTCTCATCCCAACTTGGAATGGGAGGTAGGTATAGGACTCACCGGCTTTCTAATCCTGGGCTTCAGAAAAGATGTTTGTTAAGGAATGAAACCAATAAACAATCCCTTGTTTTTTCTTTTACTACCTTACATTAGCTAGATGGGAGGAAAGATACTGTGATAATTGTACACATTTCCCGCTGGACAATTGATCACAACTCATCTCCTTCCATCATTTTCCCTTCCTCTCTTCCCAAAACAATCTCAACAGCGTTCATAGTTATATTTTCCATAGCTGCAAACTAAACTTAATATCTAACAACCATATTCGTCATCGTTCATCTTCATTTAACCCAGTCTCCTCACACAAAAAAACTCCATTTGTCAGTGAAAAGTAAGTATGTCTGTGGACACACACACATCCCCCAGTGATCTCCAATGGAAGCCGTGTTCTTGTGTCAGGAAGCTACTCCCGGAGGGATAGTGAGATCTTTCTCCTCGTGCAGAGAGGCAGTTTGGACGGCAGCTTTACTGCACACCACCTCACCATCTGTCTTCATAAGGCCACATGGAACCCCTTGAACCAGCTGCTGGGCCTCACAGCCCTCCCCCCTTTTTGATGACCAGCCCAGTGCCTTGCTCTCCTGCCAGCCCATCCCACAGCTCAGCTTTCCTCACCCAAAACAATACCATCCGCTGACCGCCTCTGAAAGAACTAGGACAACCCAGGTTACTACCACCGGCTTCTTGCCCCTGTTTCTGTTGGGGACTGAGTACAAAGCACCCTCTACCATTGCATTTTCTGTAGCTTCCCCAGCCTACATGCTGCTAACACACAAGTCAAAATCTGGGTCCAGGGTGTTAGAAAGATGGGTCCACCCTTCCTCATGCAGCCTACATGGCCCAGGGCCCAGACTCAAGATCATCATCTGCCTGCTTCACTGTAGCTGTGAGAGCGCCACCCTGTGGAAGAGGCGGCTCACTCCACCAAACAGCACCCTTGCAGCTGTGGAATCTCTACTATGGGACACTCTTTGTACACTCTTCAAACTGAACCCTGAACAGGAAGAGGAGGAGGAGGAGCTGGGGAACATCCAGTCCTCTCTGCCATCTTCCTCCACCTCACGTCACTACTCCTGCTGCAGAATTCTTGTCTTGCATCTTTGATAACTTGGAGTCTCAACCAAGTGAATGTCAAAATAAATGAGAAATTTGAAATAGAAACCACCACAGGGTCCTTCATTTTTTTTCACCCAGGGAATGGGGGCAACCGGGCATGGACTTCAGAGCTAATGCTCCCTTCCACCAGCACAATCCACCTGCTTCCCCTCCTCTCCTGCTTACAGCTCCGCACAGCCCTCCCTCACTGCGGGTGTCGCCGGAGTTACTGGGTTTTGGCAGGGGGCACTGAAGTGGAGTGGCTGTTGTCCCACCTCAGGTGGAAGTGGTCCTGCCCACAATGGGGAGACTCATCAGAGTCAGTGGCTTTACCCTGCCTGCCCTCACTTTTCAGGCCTGCCATTTCCCCCCGTGTGGAGTGCTGAGTCAGATCACAAGCACTCCGAAGGCCTAGGGAGAGTCAACTGTGCAGCCCAGTGTTGCATGGGACACGAGCTAAGAGAGTCGGGTAGAGACTGTGAAATGAGTGGTGTGGAATGGGGAATGCAAGGCCAGGAAATAGCTTTGTGCGTGAGAGGAAAACTCAAGAGTGAGAGTGTCCGCATGTGCATGCACACAAGACTGAAAGAGAGGCTGTTTCCCTACTGTGGGCTATAGCGGTGGTGACCACACAGCTGGGCACCCAGAGGGCAGCCTGGAGAGCCTGCCAGGCCCCTGACCCAACAGCACGCCTTCCCTGGTGCCAAAGGGAGCAGAGTTTCACCCCCAGCACAGGGGGCAGTGAGGTGCCACTGTTTTACTACTGTAGTTCTCCTCTGGCAACAGAAGTCAGACCCTGAGGCAAAGCTTAGCAAGAAACCCACCCACCCCAGCCTCAAACCAACACCCGCCTCACCTCTACTTCCACCTGCCCACTTGATACCTTGCTAAAGTCGGGCTCCCCATGACACATCAGCCTGGTTTGGAACTCCAGCCCTGGCCAAGCTCTTTTGCCTGGTGGCCTTTGACCTCCCCAGTCTCAGCCTCTGGCCATTCCACTGTCCAGGTATGAAAGGGAAGATGGGTGAAGAGGGGGAAGCAGTGATCAAGATCTCAGGCCTTCACCCTAACCCTCCGAGGCTTCTCTGAGCAACAGAGGTCTGGTGCCCCAGATACCATTGGCTCTACACCTCTAAGTTGCATCATGCCAACCAAAGGGCCCAAATTCATCCCTGTCATCCTGTCCCTAAGTTTTAGCAGGGACTTCACAGAGAGGAATCTTCTCATCCAGTTTTCTACATTCAAATTTAAAAGAGCTATTCAGAGCTCACTGATTATCCCAAGAAGAAGATCACAAAAGATGAACCTTGTCGAGGACTTGCCGAGATATCAGAGTTAGGCAGGGAGTCAGGAACACTGAGAAAGATGACTTGGATGTTGTAAGGAATCCCATCGTGGATTACTGATGTTGATGGAATGACTTGCAACAGACAGCAGGGGCTTGCTGAATCAGTCCCTAAAGTCCACAGCAAATAACAGCCCAAGTGTGATTGAGGCTAAAAACTTCCCCACTCCCAACATATAGAAGAGACTAATAGATCATCCATAGCCCAGCTTTCAAAGTTAATAACACATAACCCACTTTTCCAGCACTGATCACCCCCAGATCTGCAGATTTCAATAAAGCATGAGGTCTTGGGACCTCTAGCACAGTACCCCCTTTTGAGCCTGTCCACTGTCCAACAAACCTGCTCCTGCTTAAGTCTTTTCCATATCCATCCTTGAATTCTCTGAAGAAATTCTGAACTTTCTGACCCCAGGAATCAGTGACCCAAATCTGGCAACATGTTTTGGGCAAGACATCCTAGGAGACTCAAGAAAACTCCTTTCATTTTCAATCTGGAAAGCAGATCTGATTCCTTATCACGATGGGGGAGACTGCCTTTATAGTTTTACCCTCTAATTCTGGACAATTCTCCTGAAAAACTTGCCCCACAGTGTTGTGAAAGACAAAGGAATTTACTCTTTCTCTTTCCTGTGTCTCGGAAGATCAAATCATCGTATACTAGACTGACAAGTTAACAGGGTTAACTTGTAAAGAT